TGGAACAACTTGCTCTGTTGCCTTTCCTGCAGGACTGAGCTTCACTCACCACCCCCCTCCAGCTCAGACAATGAAGCCACATAGCAACCATAAAGAAAAAATAAGCTCAAACAGCTCTTCCTGTGTCTTTTTTTTTTTTGATTATTATTAAATTAAACTAGCTTTGTTGTATTTCATCTTCCAGTCACTCCTTCTATAATGGAGCATCTCTGTCGAACAGCCATGTTTTCATGCAAGTGGAAAGGGTACTACAAGGTTTTTACAGCCTGAGACCTGCCACAGAGTCCCACATGCATCAGTGAATGATAGCAAAATGAGATGTGATATGTCTGGTCCCTGAAGAACAAGCTGTGTAGAGATGGATATAAAATAGCCTGAAATGGAAGATGGGAACAAACAACTGAGTGGTACTTTCACATTGGCCACATGGGCTGCGTATGCAAACGCATACTAATGTAGAGCGTAGGCCTACTACATACAAAATCTGCACTACTTAGTGCCTGACACTTGGAAATTACAATATAGCTTTTTATAACAGTTTGAATGATATCTAACAGATTAGCATCCCATGAATGACATCACATACTTACGGCTAAGTTACGTAGATTAGGTTCAGGAAAATTATCACTGTAATGATGTTCAATTGGTTTCTCATGGTACCGAACATCAGTCTCCTGGAGGAAAAGTCCTGTGTCGGTTCCCCTATTCACCAACCTGCCTCTTTACACAGACTTTGGGGTCTTTATACTACTTCCTTCTTTACTTCCATCAGTGCATTGGTCACATGATCACAGCGTTCCCGATTCCATGGGATATACACTAATCACTGGCTCATGATTATGTGGGTTTTACACTAATTGCAACTGGTGCATTACTTTTATAGGTATAAATACAAGCGGTGCATGAAATTCTCAGCACGGACCCTAACTTCCCCCCAGCCACCACCACCACACGAACACAAACTAAAAAAGCCAGATCTGTTCGCTGAGGTTATGGGGCTTTACATCTGTTTATTTAATATGAAGCTGCAGCCAGCAGCCAGTTAGGATAGCTTAGCATAAAGACTGGAAACAGGGGGAAACAGGCTGGCTCTGTCCAAAGTAACAAAATCCACCTACCAGCATCCTGAAGCCAAAGTGTGAAAACAACAATTTATGCATTTATCTTACTACTGTGCCCTGACTATTTAGTGGAGGAGCGCGTTGACTTCCTGGGGTCTCTGCTGGTTGTAACTCCACTCTCGTTTTACACTTCAGTTTTGTGTGGATCAAACAAATGAAATACAACATGGTAAGTCGCAAGCTTAGAGGTGCTGGTTGATGGATCTTTTCGATGGAATTTGTTTCTGCCAGTTTTCAGTCTTTATGCTGACTTTAGATAACCAGCTGCTGGCTGTACAAACATGAGTGTTAGCAATCTTCTCATCTAGTGGCCCAGACGCACCATACCGACATCACAGAACTAGACTGTTGTGTCGCCTCACATCGTCTGTGTTTTGGCCAAAAAATGCACTTGAACACACCACAAAGACCGCAGCCATCAGCACACTAGCATGTGTGATCTGCGCCTGTGTGAGAGGAAATAACTTCATACCAGCAGGCAGCTGTAGTCTGGGTTCATCATTCAAAAAGGGAAAGAAGAAAACTGACAGGACGGATTCAAGACTCTAGTTAGCCAGTTAGCACAAACCAGTGTTGAAAGAACAATCGTCAATTCATTGTGCACTAGTGAACAATAACTCAAACAATTACGAACCATGTCTGCTAAAAAGCTCAATGGTAAAAGACATTATCTTACCTAATATAACACTTTTATTTTAACCTCATGTCCTGTTCTCTTTAAAAGTTTGTTTGCTTTCCTCACTTCAGTTTCTCCTCTTGGCACTGAGCTGAACTGCCAATCACAGTGACTTCTCTCACAGACAGACTCAATTATCTCCAAAGCTGATTCAAAATGCTGAAGCGGCGAACAAAAAGCCGACAAGGCCCGACAGTAGGGGCCGCACCACAAAAACTAGGTCGGCAGATGCCCACCGATGGCCTGACATCGACCAACAGCAAATGAGCAAGCTTTCAAAAATAACAAACTATTCCTATTTTTAATTTTGAGCTAAATTAAATGAAATACAACCAGACACACAACAAAAATCTGATCATTTATCTTTGCTTTTGTTTGGCACAAAATGCACCAGTGTGTAGCCTCTCCTCATGCTGTTTAATTAAAAGAGGATCTCTGTCCCTTCACACTCAGTAAAGATATCTCACAGCTGAGAGCAGAATCTCATGCAGCAGATGTGTAAGCGAGCATGATGGGGTACATCTGCTCACATGCAACACATGCATGTTATCTTGTCCCCTGGTGATTCCTCGCAACTGATAGGCGCCTTGACACTGGTGGCGCAAAATGAATTTCAGGCAACGCACAGCTCTGCTCGGCAACAGCTGTGATAAGGATAAATATTTCATGTTTTTTGGAAGTCTGTGCAGTGAACATGCCTTTTTTGGCAAACAGATTATGCAAGGGAAAGGGAGTGAAGGGAAATCAAAATTAGGGAGGGAAGCAAATGAAAGATTGAGACAGGAAGAGTGAGATGAGACAAACAAATATGCGAGAGAATGACAGAGGAGAATGAAAAACATATTCATCACACTTCCAAAGACAAAGCATGTGACTTCATATGGCAGCACTTAAAATTTCCTGTGGAAATGTGCAAAAGAGGAAATAGAGCAGAGTGGACAGGCTCTAATCTGTTCCCACTGAGCCTCATTTCCAGCATGTTTTTATGTGATAGGAACAAATGTTGGACACCAGAAACTTTCAACACACCTCTGGCTATTGACTGGCTTAATGTAAAATGAGAACATGTTACAATAATAACACATAATTGATTAGTATCTCTAACATCAAGTCTCTCGGGGGATAAGCACTTGTAGTGGGTAATTGGTGCGATAAATATTCCACTTATTCGCTGATTAACTCCCTCTGGGACTGTGAAAAGGCTAGTAGTCGAATATCTTCACAAGTGTGTCTATTTCTGGTCAGTCTGACATGTTGAATAAATTTACATGAATCTTTAGCGGTAAGGTGGGCAGTGAAATCAGTATTAAGCAATTAAAAATGATGAAAGTTGATGCAGGATCCATTTGTTACCTATTGTTCTGAAACCAGACTCTCTCCTGGAGTCAGATTTTACCCAATTTAGTCATAACAGCAACTCACAGACTAACATTTAGCAATACCACCCAACCCCACATCAGAACATACAGAAATTGCAGGAAAATTGCTCTGGCTCTGGTGGTTTCTTCAGTACAGTTGTCCTACATTTCTCCAGCTTAAAAAAACCACAGAGACTAACAGCACTTTTTCACTACAAAAACATTACAAGCTGTAACCTGAACTTTTGCGAGGCTCTTCCATTTTTACTGAGATGATAAGCTGATTAATCAGTTGGTCAACTCGCAAAAAAATAGTCTGCAACTCTTTTGATAATGACAAGAAGAAGAAGAAGAATACTTTTATGTACATATATAGCACAGTTTATGCATAGAGTGCGACACAAAGTCCTGAACATAAAGGACAATCAAAACATTAGTAATTAAAAAAAGAAAAACATTAAATAATAATAATAATCCCTAATTTATAATCCCTATATGCTGCTTTTCCTGGTCTTAAACCCAGTATATACTGTGTGATTTTGGGCTGTCTCTGACAAAAGATGATCCACGTTAAAGAAATGGGGTGATATCTTTGGTTGTGGCTCTATAATGGTGGTCCTACATTGCACTGTAAGAGAGGTTCAAGGATGGCTGTTGTCATGGCTGTCATGGTTTTCACAGTCTTGCGAGACAAAGACAGCCTGGGATGAAATTCTGACAGTGTCAGATATTTGGGATGACCTTCTCACTGTGTGACTGCTGTTACGACCTACGTCTACTAACCAGCCAGCTGAAATGCAGCATGAAATGACACACTGGCACTAAACCCAAACAACAGACACATAGCAGCTCGCCATGGAGGGAAATCGCACTCAAAGAAATATGTGGGATTCCAGCAAAGAGGAAAACCTTGTGGAGGTGTGGCAGCAGAAGCCTTGCCTGTATGATGTGTCTACAGCTCTTACCATGATGGCGTAAAGAAGGACAAAGCATGGAAGGAAGTAGCTGCGGAGTTGCAGCTGCCAGGTGAGCAACCTAGCAGCTCGCAAACACACACACACACAAATCGCAGTATATAATGCCCACAAAACTTTAGATTATTTAATAATGTGACCCTCTATGTTGTGCTTCACAGTCGGAGAAGCATCCTTGCGCGCTCAGTATGGGAAGCTGTTGCGTAGCATTTTCCAGGTAAGACATGTTGGATATGATGGTAATATTTAGGTTTTAGGAGCATTCTGTGGACATGTATACAGCGCATTGGAAAATGTGTCTCAGCTGTAGGTTTTTCCACAGATTGCCACACATGGCCTCTTGCTTGTTTACAGTCAGCTCTGCGGGTTGCCATGGATGTGTCATACACACATCAACTCACCAACAGTTTGCGAGGCTGTGGGGTAGAGATGCATGCCCAAAAGAAAAGCCTACATTTCCAGTTGAAGGTGAAACAGACCTACTCTTAAACATTGTTGAAGACTTGGCTATCAACAGGTTTTTGGACATGTGCAAAGTTTGCAACGCAGACCTTTTCAAGAAGGTGGTTAAAGGAATGAAAGAGGAAGGCTGTGTGAACGGCTGCATGTTAACAGGAATATTAGTGAAATATTCATTTTTATTATTATTGTTAACAGCTTGGTAAAAATATTGTCTTTTTGTTATTAAGGGCAAAAAATAGAATATTTTGTGCATGTAAACATGGTCCATGCAGTGACACTGATATTATTAAGCTTGTTTCTTGTTTCTAACCACTGACTAGTGATTACTAGTGGGCTTGTTGTAGTCTGCTTGGCCAAAAAGTGCAAGGTGAAGACAGGATAAATTGGGGAAACGAAATGTAATACTAACCTCTGGCATCAAAGAACTCCTCATCTGAGCTGTCGACTGATTCTTGAGCAATGTTCTGCAGACACCAATGAGAGGCGCTGTGCTTTCGTGATCCTGCAGGTTAGAACAAGAAAATAAGACAATTCAAAATTCTGATTTTAGAAGGGAAGGATGACAGGCAGGGTCATGCCATTAATCACAGAACTCGAGGACAGACAAATCTGACAATTCTTTAGCCTTTCGGTTGATAGCTCTAAAAATTCAGAGTGAAAAGCAAAGTGTAAATGCCCCATGTGGGAATGGATGGTCTTTTGAGTGTCACAGCAGGTGAACAGATCCAAATGGACTTTCCTTTGAGCAGTGTCATAGCACACAAGTGTCTCAGCAAGGAAGCCAGGCAGTTTTTTTATGACCTTCTGATACAAGAGCAGGGATAAAAAGGGATTTAGAGCACTTTCCATTTGTTGACAATATTCACCCTCAAGTACCCAGATATAAAACCATTGCAAACAACAGAGTAGAGCAAATTAATTCTCAAAAATCTTTGAAGCAGAAAGTGGCTGTAAGTCACTGAGTCGGGAGAAACTGACAAAACACAAAGCCCACTCTGCTGAGGTTGGTATATATTAACTAAATACTGATGCTGTAGTTAAATATCATATTAAATACAACAATACTGCTGAACTGTGTCAGGGTTAAAATGTCTTCAGTAAAAGTAATTACACACCAGGCTTAAAAGCAATGTTTTACTCTTTTAATGCAATTCATGCAATTCTTCCTCTTCGGGACAGCAATTTTGTTAAGCCTCCAGTAACTCCTCCTCTACGCGCTGCTGCACTGTGATGATGTACTGAACCTGGGCCAAATGTTGAAATTTGTTTTCCCATAGTCTGGATCCATTGCAGCGTTTCTGACTTTGCAGTAAAAACACAATTCATCAATTTCATTATGAACACTTATGAATATGGTGAAAACTACTACATTATACCTCATATAAATCATGGGAACTAGGCTGTGTTTAATAAAAAGACCCAAATGGCACCATTCAAATCCGCTACATTTACCTGCTTGCTATTAGATACAAGATACCCCAGGAAACAATTTATTCTGATGTATACTGTACACCTGTGTGGATGCACCAGAGAAAGATAGTTTGCTTAATATTTTGCATGCATAAAATTATTTTCTCTGTGCTGCAGGAGACGTTGAAAAGGTTCCACCCATCACTTTTCAAATAGTGATCAGTCTTTACATGCCCCCTCTTGGTCAGTCTCTAAGATTATAACTCTGCTTATCACAGCTATGCAGATGACACGCAAATCTATCTACAATCTCACCAAATGACTGTGGTCCTTTGGACTTGCTTTGTTTATGCCTTGAGAAGGTAAATGATTAAATGCAACAAAATTTTCTTCAACTGAACAAAGGTAAGCCTGAAATTATTCTCTTTGGAAACCAAAATGGAACGTTTAAGCCCAGTTCAGACCCAAGATGTGCGGATGGAATCAGAGGGCTCGGCAGGGATGGAGCACATGCTATGGCAAGCAAACATGTCATCTTTTGGTCATTTTGAAGCATTTGTGCTTATTTTAATTCCAGAGGACTAAAAACTAACAACCACATCAAAAACCTTGGTGTAATCATTGATGATGATTTTAATGTCAGTGGCCACATTAAAGCTGTGACAACATTCATATTCTGGTATCTCAGAAACATAGCTAAAGTGAGAAACTGTGTCCAAGCAAGACTTAGAAAAGCTCATTCATGCTTTTATTCCTTGTAGGGTGGACTATGCTAATGCAGTCAGGGAACACATTTCACCAATTCTAAGACTGGTTTCAGTTAAGTACAGAACTGGCTTCAAGGCCCTGCTTATTGTCTAGGAGCCAGGAAGGTCTCTCAGATCTGCAGGGACTGGTCTGTTTTGATGCCCATAATGTAATGAAATGGCTTTTCCGCATTTCAAAATGATATCACTAACAAACTCTTCCCCAGAGGTTTTACAATAAAATGTGTATGTTGTTCATTCTCTCCAGCAATGTTGCAATTGGGAACAATTTCCATGTAATGACAGCACAACACTGGCAACACTTGTATTCCACTGCAGCTGCTTAACTACATCAATTCATTATTCCTGTTTGAATATTTCTCACACATGCCGACCATGTTTGCGCTCCAAGGTGGAGGAGAAACATGTAACATCACTGTGTAAACAGCCTTTATATCATTTTACATTGCTGTCAGGAAACCATGAAGAATCTTGAGGGCAGTGACATCCTCCCCCGATGTTTGCAGCTGACATCCTGTTAATGTGTCATTTAGAAATAAAGAAAAACTCTTGTGACCACTTTATGAGCACTTAAACCCTTGATATAAATAGTCAATATGCCAGCCAAGTTAGGAATAAGCTGACGCTCTCTCTACAACCTTTAAATTGCAGCAGAAACTCTGCCCTTCAGCAAATCGCTCTCCAGGATCCCTGAACCTTTAACCCTGTCATCTTGGCTATACTGGACGATGCGTGAGGAGGCTCAGACGAGGATTAATTCAATCCTTGTGTGAGAATTTACTGTGCATCAACAGCAGCAGCACCACTGAACAGCCGAAGCAACATTTTCCCTGCACCTTACACATCCATTTCTTATATACCACCCCTGCATCCTAATTTGTGTCAGCTAAACTACCGTGTACACACAAGACAATTTGGCCTAATTACACTCTCTGCTCTCACGGTAAAATAAATAATTACTGCACAAAACATTGAGATAATTACTATTTTCCAGAAAACACTCTCCTCCCACTTAAACAAAATGGCAACAGGAGCTATAAATACATCTGAAATCCTCAGCAAACTCTTGACCTGGATGACGGTACAGTAACTACCACAGGTAAGGACTGCACATTATTTTGTTATGTTGTAAGTGCGTCAGTGGTGTTGGAGTGATCTCAAACAAGCTGCCTGTGGTACTCATCCAGCTGCTCATTTATGTTTCATGCTTTCAAGTGAAGACATTAATACACACTCAGCATGAAGTACACAATGAGGAAACATTATCCTACAAATAGCATCCAGGGCTGTCTCTCACACAGTCGTAAAAAACACAATGGACGTGCTAGTGATGCTTGTTTTTTCTTACATAGGGCTACTTGTAAACCCACACAGTAATATAGTATTAAATGACAATGGCCTTCGAAGTAATGCTGGGTTCTTGCTACTGTAGGCTGTAAGCTATTTAGCTGGAAAAACTCATGTATGCAAGAAGCGAAACACAAACTTGTGCAGCTGCAAATTTTTGCTTTGTATTCCGCATCTAATATCGGACCTGTCACTCTCCTCTGTGCTTTCTACTTGACTGTCTGAGGATTTGAGAGCTTCATCCTGAGGAGGCATGAACGAGCAGCAGCTTTGCCAGATGGGAAATGTTAATTATAGTACCAGAGGTTCAACATTGTCATATTTTAAGGAAATAATAGTAGTACGTGAGTCATAACCAAGAAAACAACTAGGCGTAAATGTGTAATTTTTCAAAATACTTATTTGAACAACTTTCTGGCATGGCAACAAAACTACCCATATCATTGTTCTTTTTGAAGCAAGCTCACAAAGTTATGATGCATTGAAGGGGGTATGTGTCTAAAAGGCCACCACATTCTTCACAGCCTACACCAGCCATGATTTGCTGGAAAGAAGTCACTTGAGAAGAGATGCGTAAACAGATTAAGTATCCATCAGGGTTCCTGTGGATCCTTAAAAACTATTAAGAGGCATTTAATTCATTACTTTAAAAATAAGGCCTTAATTTGTATTTAAATGTCTTATATCGATCTTTGAAAAGTCTTAAAAATGCTAAAATGTGGGAAGTATGATTTTATGAATTGTTTTTTTTCTGACATTTCATTGTAAAATCTCAAAATGATTAGTCATATGTATTTATTATTATTATTTGGAAAATGTTCCCAGATGCCTCTTACTGTAATGTCATGAAGATCAGGATAGTGGAACCAAAAACACTCATGTGTCTGGCCATGGTTGTCAGAGCAGAGGATCCACTGTCACTGTACCCTGGACAATATGAGGAAGTGAAAATTTGAATGAAAACTGACTACTTAACTTAGATGTCATGGCCTGGCTGAAACCGGTACAAAGCAATGCATTCACCCACCCAATGTTTGCAAGCTTTAGATTCTGTGCACCATAGTGCATTGAGATTTATTTCCAACTGTAAGCCACTAACTCATCACTGTATCCTGTATGCTCATGTTGGCTGGCTCTTCTTACAATTTCTTAGACTTTTTCATTGGCGCTCTCTTGTTTACAAAGCTATTCTTGGCCTTCCTCCAGCATAATTATGTGTATACATTAAGCAGAAAATTGAAAATGGCTATGCTCTCCATTCACAAAACATGTTTTTATTGTCTGTACTAAGGGTACATACAGAGTTTGGTTACCGAGCATTTATGTATGCAGCTCCTTATATGTGGAATCTTCTGCAGAGGGACTTAGAGTTGCACTCATTGGTTCCTCTCGGCTGTTTCGAAGCACTGTTGCAGGATTTTTGTACACAGTCTTCTATATGCCGATGTCACAGTGTGTCTTAGCTTGTAATCATGTGTAGCTGCCGTTTAAAGGTTCATTTCTAGTATATTAACATACTTTTTTTATTCTGTATTTTTGCTCTTTGTCGTTTGTCTGTAACTTATGTTGCTGCCTGTCTTGGCCGGGACACTCTTGAAATAGAGATTTTTTTCTGGTTACATAAAGGTTAAATAAATAAATTCAAGGCTCGATGTATTTTGTGCAAAAAGATTTTCAAACTCATGATGGGAATCAAGGCATCGGAATCCCACATGCAGAGTGAGATACACACCAGAAACACGCCAAACAAACAGCAGGTATTTCCCAGTTCTGTTCTGCCCTCGTCTCTATCACAAGACAAAAAAAGTCATGTTTACGGTTACAATAAACATTTGGACAAAATTTTCCCTTACCCTAAGTATCTGATGTCAGGGTTTTTTTGTCTTTTTTTCCAAGTGGCATGAAAGAAATCTTATGAAGTCTTCAATTTAACTTGCATTACGCTGTAGGAACCCTGATCCATATATTGCTATCCTGA